ACATAAATGTTCACTATAAACATAAAACTTTTCCTGTGATACTTTTTTATGTTCGTCTACTTCTATACTACTTCTATTATGAACTTCTTCTCTACCACTTCGCCTACTACCACTTACTATAATCGTACATAAATGTTTTGCGTTGCGCCAGCCATTCAACTAATTCGTTGCCAAAAAACCAAAAAACCTCAAACAATATGGCCAAATTATATTCTCATCACATACATACGAATACGGCTCTATATAACATCAATGTTTATGTATGTGAATGCATATATGTGTATGTGTGTGTGCGTATTGGTTTTTTATAGTGAGTACAATATCATTATGGTAAAATGATGTTGAATTTATTTAATTTAATTTTAGTTTTTATATTCCCTTATTGCCAATTGTTTTTTGCCCTTTAGTTTGTTATGTTGCTTAATTATTTTTTTTTTAATATCGTTTTCTTTTTGCTTACAGTTTTTTTGTTTTTTTATTGAGCATTTTACCCTACTTCCCTAACATCCATCCACTGATCCCAAATGTTTGTATAAATTCAATTTTTCCATTAAATATTTATAAAAAATAATTAAAATTTGAGTGTTGTGTTTCTTGGAGAAATTTCAGATAGGAAAATGTTTTCAATTCACATCCCACCTATTAGGTTTCCGCTTTTGATTTTGGCCCTTAAGTCGAATGCATTTCGAGGCAATTGTCTATTGCAGATAAGCCCCAAGAGTGCCAGAAACTTTTTTCTATTGACACTCTTTAGAACATAACAATTCCTGACGTTCCGACTGGCTCTTTTAACACATTGAAGATGATCCAAATCGTCTGCTGTTCAAAATTCCAACTTTTAAGGAAAATAAAAAAAGTCGGACGAAACAGCCGTTTATAACCTTGGGTAGATACAAGTGATGATCCTAAGATTCCTCTTGATTGATAGGACAATACTTTGATAAACTCTTGACATGAAATCGGACCATACATGTACTGATTTTATATATGGACGGATTTATATACGTGTCATTGTGTCATATGAAAAATACCATGTCACTCAGGCAGACTTACTGACTTTGGTGTAACATCGATAGAGTACACCATCTCTGGTGTGTCTCTATTGACAATCTTCTCAGCATTCCATTCCAGTGGGGTAGAAAACATACATGTGTTGCTAGAAGCTAAGTGACTCCATCTTTACGTTGTGGAAGGTATAGTTGAAGCTCTCCAAATTCTTGAGGATACCACATACATAAAAGAAAGACAGGAAAAAGCGCCACCCAGAGGAAAATTTTCACACTAAGCCTAGTAACAAGCCCAACTACTGCACAAAATTTAAGGAAGCATTGTTTCTAGAAAACGAGAGAAGGTAGCTCCATCATCTGGGTCTGGCTACAGCAGACCAAGCATCCACTTACGTGGAATCAAAATAATGACATGATTAACACCAGGAGACACTTTGTAGCAGCCCTATAATCCCAAGAGGAATAAAGCAGCGTCAGCCGATTTGACTTTTATATAGACGTGCTGGGATTTATTTATTATATTTATGTCTATGGATTCCAAGGTCCAGTGAAAGTTCCATTGTCTTAAAACCAAAGAAAGACTGACCGGTCTGTAGTCTTTCGATAAAGTGAGACTAGATTTTCCAGCTGTGGGAATGAAATTCACCTTTATCTCCCTCCACAGACTTGGTAAGGTTACCATGTTCGTAAAAAATATAGCTCCTGGAACAAGGCGATGTCCGTGTTTGTGGCCTGAGGTTTCGGAGTACCTCAACACATGCAGCCTTACAATAATGCAGGTTCGTTTGCACCAGTTTCAGACTTCGTTGTATTTTTCAGTTGTTTGCAATGAAGGAAAACGAAAATTGATCTGCCCCAAATCAGATGAAGGTCGAGTAGCAACTAATAACTTTCCCTGATTATCCGGTCCATACGCTGTATTGTTGTTTCAGTCTTCGGAGGAGACCTCGTAAGTTGCTGTGAAGACTTACCGGACGTTTCCCTCCTAGAGGCATCATTTCAAATGTCCTTTTTTGCATTTGTAGCTTAATCAGAAGGCTGCTATGAAAATTTGCTAATATGCCCGATTTTCGTCTCCCCAATGGCGACCTTCTGATACTTCCTGATCTAGATCAATCATTCTTGAAAAGAGTCTGTCTTATCAATGGTGGCTACTCTCTGGTAATCCCGTCCATACGCCTTATTGTTTCAGTCCACGGAGAATACTTTAAAGGTTGTTGTGAAGCCTTGCCAATAGGTCGGATTTTTGTCTTTTTATTTGTAGCAGACTCTGAAAGTTGCATGAAGACTTGCCAATTGGTTTGACATTCGTCTTCCCAACTGTCTTTCTTGGCTGAGCTGGTTTTGACAACGAGGGTTTTTTTGTCAGCTGGTTGCTATTCCCCCGTCTACCTCGTCCCCTTCATTAAAAATGGAAATTGTTCCGACCCAAATCAGATGATGATCGAGTAGCAACCAATGACTTTCGTGGATTCTTCCAGAACTGTGTCAGCGATTTCATTGATGACCACTCTCTTGTTATCCGATTCATGCGCCGTTTTGTTTTTTCTTATAGGTTGCTGTTACGACTTACTAATTGGTCGCACTTTCGTCGTCCTCGTGACAATCTGTGAAGACTTATCTTTCGTCTTCTCAATGGGGACCTCCCACTACCCTTTTAGGCTGAGCAATTTTTGACAACAAGGTTTTCTTGTCAGCCCGTGGCTGTTCTCCCGCCGAGCTCATTCTCTTCATTGCTTCAGGCGTTTGGGAGGATATGATCTTAGTCGGTACAGCCTCCAGATAAGTCCCCGATATGGCCTATACAGAGGGTTCCTTTTCCATCGCCTTGGTAGAGGTCTCACTCGTACTTCCTCACGGCTTTTAAGTCCTTCTTGATCTAGATCAATCCTTCTTGAACATGACCATCCCTGTCAATGATGGCTACTCTCTGATTGTCCAGTACAATCCTCGGAGGAGAATTTAAAAGTTGCTGTGAAGACTTGCCAATAGGTCGGTACTCCTTGTGACAACCTTATCACTGTCCTTTTTATTTATAGCAGACCCTGGAGGTTGTTATGAAGACTTATCAATTGGTTCGACATTCGTCTCCCCAATATCAGCCTTCTCACTATCCTTCTTGGCTGAGATACTTTTGACACTAAGGGTTTCTTATCAGCTGGTTGTTGTACCCCGTCGAGCTCATCCAGCTTCCGACAGCTTGCCGCTGATACAACTCCTTACTTTGATGTTTGATCCGGACGAATTCCCTCTGGCTGACAATTTTACTGTAACTTTATATTTATGTGATGTCATTTGTCTGATAACGTTCCCGTTTGAAAGCAGAATGGCGACCATCAGTATAATAATTCTCCCCATTCGTAAGACTTTCATAGTCGTTACAGCTTCGGACAGCTCACCGCTGATACAACTTCTGAATTCGGTCCAATGTTTGTCACATGATCGCTCTACGCTTTGGTAGAGGTCCTTCTCATATTTCCTCACGACCTTATTGTGTCTCTTCATCCAGTTAAATTCCTTCTTGCTGATCAAGTTGGGGACCTTTTCTACTGATGTGGTGTCATTTGTCAAATAACGTCCTCGTTTGAAAGCTGGAGGGTGACCATCAGTGAAATTCAGTTGTAGCACCTTCAAAGTCGGTACAGCTTGCCGCTGTTACAACTCCTCACTTTGGTCCCTTTATCATCGCTTTGGGAGAAGTTTCACTCGTACTTCCTTACGACCTTAAGATATTTTAGGATCTTGGTGAATTCCTTCTCCCTAATCAATTTAGAGCTATTTTCTACTAATGTGGTGTCATTTGTCCGATAACGGTTCTGTTTGAAAACTAGGTTACAATCGGTGTTATTATTCACCTCAATCGTGAGGTAACAGCTTGTCGCTGACACAACTCCTGACTATGGTCCAGTATTTGACCCATGTCCTTATGCTACACTTGTTGGTTATTTTACCGACGCCTTGGTAGGGGTCCTTCTCGTACTTCCTCGTGATTTTAAGGTTCTTCTTAATCCTGATGAATTGCTTCTCGCCGATCGGATTGTGGGCCTTTTCTACTGATGTTGAAAGCTGATGGGCTAACATCAGTAAATTCCTTTTCCTGATTCGTAACTTTTTAAGTGTTAAATCCCACTCTTATCCTGCTTTCGGTTAGTAATTTATTGATGGTTAGCAATTTTATTTATTTTTTATGGAGTTAAAACACTCATTCTTGTTTAAATCCATATTTATTTAATTCTCCATATGCAAACATGTAATCCCTCCTCTCTGCAATACATAAATCCTTCATCCCATAGTATCATTTATTTTGAATCCCATTCAACATTATTTTATTTGTACTCATTAGTGAGGCTTGTGAAGATCTAAATTATAGCGAAAATCAAATGCTTTTCTTTACAGCATAAATATCTTACATACATTTCATTTGCTATAACCAACTAAAAAAAATCAAACACAATAATTTCCATCTCCGGAAAAATATTTCATTTCTAGAAAAACATATAGACTTGTAAAACACTCCCAAAATCTAAATCAAAAGGAGTGATGTCCAACCCCCCACCCCAAAAATCTGAGATAGTATTCATATTACATAGTTTCGTTTGTTCTTAGAGTTTGCGTTTGTTAATTAATTACTTAATTATATATTTAATTGTTTGTTTAATTAATGTTTTTTAACTTCCAAGTGTTTGTTTTTCTTTATACAAGAGTTGAGAAAAAAAATAAAACAAAAATCCAATAACAATACGTACGTAATAATAAATACTACTATTACTACTACCACTGCATTTAAATGAATGCTTGAGTTTTTTTTTACTTTCGATTTAAACGATTAAAACCTCCCAGTCCTGAGAACCAAACCTAAAAAAATTAAATACGTTAAAATTAACCCCCAAAAAATTTTATTGTTCCTTAATTTTTTATTGAAAAAAATATCCCTTGAAATTGTTTTTATTTACCTTGAATATTAATCCGAACTATGTTGTATATAACTTACAGGAGGTACTTCCTATCCACATCCACGTCGTCCGGCCTCTGGTGGGCATATTGATCGTGGCTATGAACGAGATCGCTTGGAAAGAGAACGTGAACGAGATCGCTATGAACGTGAACGCGAACGGGAGCGTTTGCATGCCCGTGAACGTGATCTCATGCACTACGATTTGAACAATGAGGAGCTGTTGGATGAGCGCAGCTATGCCGCCGACTATCCACCACATCGGGGTGCGGTGGGCGGCAGTGTGCATGCACATTTGTCACGTGGCAGCCGTCTAATGGATGACAGTGATTTGTTGCATATGGAACGCGATGAATTGCGCAGCGGACGTTATGCCAGCGGGGCGTCGGGTCGTGTTATCGACCCCCGTGACTTGCCACCATCGGCGCCAACGGCTAGACGCGGTGCACCCATTGTTGATCGCGATGAATACAGTCCGCACCGAGGCGGTGGGAGTAGTAGGAGAATGCTGAATGCCATGTAGGAATCGTGGATATAGGGGTGGGATCAGATCGATAGTAAAGGCGCGACGATGTTGGCCAGCGGTGCCACAGCGTCAAGGGTTAGAGAGCACAAGGAAACTACAAATAGTACTAGTAATATCGATCGCCAATATCAGCAACAACAACAACATCCGCAGCATCACGAACACCATCATAATATGAATACACAGAAACAATCACAACAATCCTCGAAATCACGATTATTGTCCTCCTCAATAATAACTACCTCCTCCACAACCTGCGACCAGGGCAGTACCAGTAGTAGTAGTGGTAATATGAGTAGTGGTAGACGTATTAAATTAAGTCATGCACGTTTCTCTCATATCGATCCCATTCTATCACCCACGTCACCACAATCACCCCTGCCATCACAGAGATCATTATCACAGCATCAGCAACTGCCACCACCCGCCACACTGTCATCATTGTCCCCGACACAACAACAATCGCAACAACCATCCAGTGCATCGACAGATGTGGCAACACTGTTGCCGATGCAAGATAAAACGGATATATTCCATTTGCATCATTCATCATCCAACAATGATCAACAAATACATTCCTCCTCCACCACCAACACATCGTCCGCCCATAATTCGTCGTCGACGTCGTCACATCATAACAAACAACAACAACAATCATCACATAGTAGTCAGCAACAACAACAGCAACATTATCAAATGCTCAGAGGTCGCCATAAAGACACATCCGATACAAATACGAAGACCGATTATGCCACATCTTCCTTCACGAACATGGATGATCTAACGAATGCCATACGCAATAAAGTCATTGTCGAAGAGGACGAAGAGGACATATTGAGCAGTGATAATACATATTTATATTAAAGAGATTTCATGTGATTAACAAAAACAAGTTTTAATTTGAGTTTATCGTTAGTTTCGATTTTATAATTTAATTTTTTGGATGATATGAAATGAAAATGAAAAACTCAAATCTTGGTTAAAAAAATGAGAGAGAGGAAGAGGGAATCTATAACAAAGACAAGAGCGAGAAAGAGGGAGAGAAATTTGCAATTTGAAATCAGAAATGGAAAATTAAATACAAAACATATTTGTAACAAAAAATATTCTTCTATCGCAGAATCAGACCAGACTCCACATGACCAGGTTTACCAAAGAAATAGGTGAATATTAGATTTAAAGGATCCTTTCCATTTTAAACTTTTTGGTTAGTCTTTAAAGACCCAAACACAATCGTTTGCTGTTTGGATTCGGTTTCATATGCATTACATCCAAGATTTGTCACCTGAGGCATGAAGTTGTCTCAGATTTTCTTATACAACATTTTTTTAAAAAAAACGAAATTGTAAATGATCCTTCATTCAGGATATTCCTTAAAGATTATAATGAGTTCGCACTTTGGATATTTTACATGTGTTATATAAAACTGCACAGGGTAGTCCTGCAATGTTTTTTTAAAGATTTGTTAGAAAACTTAAACATTGGTGTCACCCTGTAATTTGCTTCATTTTTTAAATTTTCTACACAAAATTCTAATTATTTTTTTTTAGATATGCAAAGTTTTGGGTTACCTTGAAGATTTTTAAATAATTGCAAAGAATTTCACCTTCGGCAAAATATGTTTCTTACAAAATTTGAATTTTTAGATACCCTGTAGTTTTTGTATTGTTTTATAAATATTGTATCGACCTGTAGATGCAAACACGATCTATTCGTGTTTTGAAATCCTAGCCTATAATGGCCCCTGAAAAAATATTCTTTAATAAATCCCCGCCTATAATGGCCCCTAAAAAATATTCTTTAATAAATTTGTGTTGATCCCTGAAAAAAATATTTGTTAACAAATTCACGCTTGTATTGGTAGCGGAAAAAATAGACGACTGGACGTCTGCTTACAATTTTGGAAAACATTTCCTAAAGATTATTGTGTTACCCTGTTATTAAAAACCATCGGAATTTTCTATAAAAATTATAAGAGGTCCCATTTATTGTATTTTCCAGAGTTTTTTTATAAAAAATCAAAAGTGTCAATTCTGGATTTTCTTGAAATCTGTTTTATAAAATATGTATATTTTTGTGGCATCCTGTAGTTTAAAAAAAATCTCAAATCATAGGCATACCCTGAATTCAGTCAAGGAATTTTGTACACTCTGAAAAAGGAAAAGAATTAGACAATCCTCCAGTCATTCAGCTTAAGAATACCCAGCCAACCTTTTCCGAATATAAAAAAGTGTGAGTTTGTGGATTTCGAGAATTTGACAACATATAACTCGAAAACTGAGGCAGCCTCCTCCTCCATTAAGACTTAAATGTGGTCTCATATTAACTCTTTAAGTTCTAATGTAATCCATGGGAAATGTATTTTTTAGGATCTTGTATTAAAAACCGCTACTAGTCCTAGGAGGTTTGGTATTGCACATGGGACCATGTTTTGTTTTGGCTCCCATATAACGGTACCGCCCCATTTGCGATATTTTGAAGGTCTTAGCTACAAAGGGGGCATTGGACATTCCGGGTTTGTGGGAGCTGATATACATCTATGAAGAAAATTATTAAAGTGGTCCAATTTTTGACATTTCTCTCGATCCGCACCAATTACGGTAATTTGGAAAAAAATGTCCTAAAGATGTTCCTGTGTTGCCCTGTAATTCAAAACCATCAGGATTTTCTATAAAAAATCCTGATTGTTTATAAAAAATGAAATTGTTCCCCTACTGGATGTTCTTAAATTATTTTATACAAAGTATTCATTTTTGTGACACCCTATAGTTTAAAAATAAAATTAAATTTTTGATCATAACCTGAAGCTAGTCAAGGAAGGTTGTTCATTCTGAAAAAGGAAAAGAATTCCACAATGCTCAAGTCATATAGCTTGAAGAAAACACCACCCTTTTCCGAATTTGAAAGAGTGAGTTTCTTTTTTTTCTTTGCAAAATATGGAACCCTGTTTTGACATAGTTCCGATACCAAACGGAAGCGACTGTAATTTGGGGGGTTAACGTGGGGTGAAAAATATCTTTGCAATAATATGATTCCATATCATAGTCCCCATACAAAGGTCCCGCACCATTTCCAATATTTTGAAGAGTAATTTGCATTCAAATTCAAGATTCTAGGCAGAATTTTTAATTGAAATAGTTTTAGTTTTGAACTATGGGCTCTTGAGGAGTCCTGGCTGAATTTACCAACCAGACAACTTGAAAAAAAAACCTCATGGTAGACAATTTTTCAAACGGAAGCGGCTTTAATTTGGCATTGCGGATTCGTGGAGGTGAAAATATTATTGCAGTACTAAGATTCTATATTATTGTCCAGGTTCAGCACCTTTTCTATTATTTTGAAGCTTTTTCAACGGAAGTGCCTGAAATTTTCTGGGAGAAAACATACATCTACGAAAATCCCGCTGTATTTTACCATCTAAATGGCTATAAATTTATATAATGCCAAATTCAAGGTCCTAGGCACATTTTCTAACACAAAATAGTTGTTGAGGAATCCTAGCGGAATTTACCAACCAGACAAATTGAGGAAAAAAAATCCTCATGTTGGACAATTTAGGCCCATTCATTGATTCAGCTGGCATATAAGGACCCCATACGTTTTAAGATATTTTGAATATTCAGGGGGAGTGTATAATACTACATATACATTATAACTTTTTTCTGGGTTAACCAACTTCATGAGGATGTATTTGACATATATCGACGCCTCCTAAGTCTGAAAAGTGAGTTTTTCAGCAGAAGCTCTCAAAGTATGGAAGTTTCTTATATCTTACGTGCCATGCTAAGTACATTTTTGCTTATAACTTTGGTTTGGATTGGCCGATGATTACCAAAATTTCAGAGAATTTAAATTAAGGACCGTAGTATCTAAAAACGTAAAGAACTTTAAAACATGCTAAGTCGACTTAGCATACTATGGTTCGGAGGCGTCGATATGTAATTAAATTGACAATTTATACCCACTGGGTTAAGAAAATCCAGTAAAATGTGCACGTACTGCAACATCCTTACAATGCAGCTGTCAATAAAGCAAATACTAAAAAGATATACGGACTAGTCGAATTAAAATAATGGCTTTCATAGTTCTTAAATTTTCCATTTCTTTGATACATGCAAACTATTACCTCTTTTCTCAATATCTCTGGAGTTGGTACACTGAAAAAATATCTATAATTTAACTAATCATATAAAATATGTGAAAACAATCATTAATTACAAATCACAAATATTAACTCAAAATAAATCTCTTATATTTTCAAATTTTAATTCAAATCAAAACGCATTTTTGTAAAGTGCCAAAACATATATTCATATTATTTAAAATTGTTTTCACTAATTTTTATATAAGTTCCCCTTACTAGATATTGAAAGTAAAACCAAAGAAGTTAGTAAATTTTCCAAAAAATTAAAAAAACTAATATCTCACTTAAAAAAAACATATTTAAACAAAATACAACAAAATAATATTTCGGTTTCTGTTGAGTAAAATTTTTGTAAAATTTTATTATTCAAAAAAATTCACAAGTAAAAAAAAAACACAAAAAAAAAGATATTTAACGAATGCTGCAAAATATATTTTATTTCTACTAACGTTATTTAACGTTATGTGAAAATAAATTAAAAAAAAATATTAAAAAAACGCTAAGAAGCCTAATGTGTCTTAAATTTTAGCTAAATATATTAATAAAGTAAATAAAAAACCAACAAAGAAATATGAACTTAATGATGAACAGAAATTATACTTTAAACAATTTTTTGTAAAAACAAAATAATGTGAAGTAACAAAGAACATTTTTTTTAAATTAACAACAAAAACAACAACACGACAATTTAACAGTTCTCATGTTAAATTGGCGAATTTGTAAAAAAAGGAAACAACTAGAAAACCAAACAAAAAAACGTAACTCAAAAAATATATATAGCAAACAATTGTGTACTGGATAAGTGTCAGCTTTAATAATTTAATAATAGACATATATAACAAACAAAAAAAAAAAACATAACTACTAAATAAACCGAAAATATAAGCTAAAAATAAATAAAAAAAAATATTGTTGTTAAAAAAAAATTTCAATTTATTAAAAAAAAAAAAATGTTAAATTTAAGTCACTTCAGTAAAAAAAAACTCTAAAAACACTTGAATTCTCTTCTTAAAAAAACCAAACTAATAATTTATTGTATATACGAAAATATTAAAAAAAATAATAATGATGATATTATAATTAAATTAATATATTTATAATAATTTCATGAAATCTCTTTAATATGTTTTATTTTTATTTTTTAATTTCTTTATGCTAAACTCCATTATCACTTCGTTCGTAGATAATCGTTTAATATTAACCCTAGTTTAGTAGATTTTATATAAAAATATTTAATAAATTTTCGCATTTCCTTGTAGTATAAAAACTAGAATTTTGTGGCTGGTTGTTGCTGTGGTAAAAATATATTTCCGATTGTCATATTTTGAAAGAAATGTCAAAATTACATATATTCCCAATGTTATATTTCTGATCCACATTTCATATATCATCAAGACTAGGATATGATCTAGCTAGGCCATACAAGGCAAGACCTTTTATCGAGGTATTATAGCTTTGTGCGGCCCGAAGAGTTTGTATCGACGCGAAATATTGGTCCTGACCCACTATTTAGTATACCGTCATATCTCGACCAGCTGAGTCGATCTAGTCATGTGTGTTAGTCCTCCCGTCTGTCCATTATAATTTGTAACCACAGTTATGGATTAATCTTCATGAAATTTTGCAGGTAGGATCTGTTTTGGCCACAAAATATCCCTATTGTTTTTGTTAATGATCCGTTAATTAAGGGATGAAATGACTTAACAATTCTGCATGTAGG